ACAACAACAACAACAAAGAGTTACAGCCCCAGAAACCCCTATATAGGCTTGCTATGAGTTGAAACCGACTCCACAGCACATAACAACCACCACCACAGGGTCACTGGGAGTCAGAATCAATTTGATGGCAGTGAGTTTGGGATTGTTTTTGTTGTGTGTGAGAGAGTTTTGTCTGAATATAGAACTGAATGTATATGATTCTTGTCCATCAGAAATATGCATTGTGCTCCAATGTAATAATAAAATCCCAATCACCCTGGGGTTACTGACAGGAAGAGAGCACCAATGACAAAAGCAAATGAGTTTTTGTTCTGCTTGATAACAACAGGAAACCAGTATGGGCTGCTTGATAACAACAGGAAACCTATTCCTGTTAACCCCAATAGGGAGACAGCTTGCCCATTGCTGTGCTAACTGCATTGTTTAACAACATCTGGATGTTTTTCACCTTCCCCTTCTCAAAATTCAAACTTACTTTTATTCAACATAAAATCTACTTAAAATACCAGTTAACTGTAGGATAAGGAACTGTTTAGGGGTAGACCGCGGCTGCTGTGGATCACTGAGTCACTTCTGACCCATTTGTTGTTGGGAAGAGCCGTTGAGTCGGTTCCGAGTCATAGCGACCCTGTGTAGAGTTTCCGAGGAGCAGCTGGTGGGTTTGAACTGTCGACTTCATGGTTCACAGCCCAGTTCTGATACTGCAGCGCCACACTTGGAGTCTGTCCGACTCAGAGCGACTCTATGTAAGGTTTCCAAGGCTGCAAATCTTTACGGGAGCAGAAAGCCTCATCTTGTTTAAATATGGGAGTATATATGTAAGGAATATAATGTGTTAGGATGTGAGGATACTTAACAATGAATGTCATTTGAGAAACTTTTCTTTTCAAGATTCTACTGAGCTCGTCCCTTCAGAGCCCCATGAAGACGCTGAAACAGAGGTGAAGACGGAAGGTTGGTTATCTTGTTGCGTCCCCATTTGCTAAGTGTGGTTTTAACCTTCTAGGAGGATTATTGTAGGGGAGATGGAAATATATGTGTGTGTGTCTAGCTAGGAGTCCTGGAGTGGTGCTGTAGGAGAAGCACTGATCTGCTAACCATGAGGTCGGTGGTTCAAACCTACCACTACCAGCTGCTCCTCAGAAACCCTACACATGGTTGCTATGAATCGGAATGGACTCGACAGCATATAACAATGACAATGCATAACTAAAGGAGTCCTGGTGTGGGGCTGTAGGATAAGCACTGGACTGTTAACCAAAAGGTCAGCGGTTCAAACCCATCAGCCACTCCTTGGAAACCCTATACACGGTTGCTTATGAGCTTGAACCGACTCAATGACACTTAGCAACAACACAACTGAAAGGAGCCCTGGTGGCACTGTGGGTTAGGTGCTGGACTGCTAACTACAAAGTCAGCAGTTCAAACCCACCAGTCATGCCACAGGAGAAGGATGAGGGCTGCCTGCTTCCATAAAGACTCACAGAAACCCTACACAGCTCTCTAGAAGCCAGAGTCAAGTAGCTGGCAGAGGATTAGGTTTGGGGATTTAGTTATGTGTAATGAAGGAGTCTCTGAGTGCATGAACGGTTAACACACTTGGCTGCTAACCAAAAGGCTGGCAGTTCAGAGGCCCCTCAGAAGAAAGGCCTGGTAATCTACTTCTGAAAAATCAGCCGCTGAAAACCATGTGGAGCACAGTTCCATGCAGACACATACGGGGCCTCACTGGGAGGTGGCCAGGTGGATGTGTGAGTGAAGCAGCTGATACTTGCATCAAGTTTCCCGGTACACAGGGCTTTCTAGACGACGTAAGCAAATAAGCATCAGCCCCCAGTTGTACTGCACTGGGTTCTGTACAAGTAGGAAAAGAATGAACAAGAGACAGAGCAGGGTGAGGGGGAGAGAGGAAAGGAAACGGGGCAGCAGATAGGAAAGGGCCGGTTCTCTCTCTCTCACACACACAAACACATACACACGCGTGCGTGCACACACACACACACACACACACATTCCACCAAATACTGGATGATACGAAAAAAAGGTAACAGCTGGTTGGGATGGCGTTGGAATCCCGGAGCTCAGTTTAGGTACAAGTATTTAAATGAAGTAAAGTTGAAAGTGTAATTTAGTCAAGATTCATTTTCAAGACCCAGTATGTAAGGTTATTTCCTTTAAAATAATGTACAAGCTGACATGCAGTCTGTCTAGTATTGTGTGTATGTGTCTGTGTGTTTAAAAACCACATTCAATAAAACGGGTGATCTGCTCCGTAAAGATTCACTCAATTCTAATGAAATGTTAATAACAAAACCAAAAACCACATTCAATAAAATGGGTGATTTGCTCCGTAAAGATTCACTCAATTCACGATAAAATGTTAAAAACAAAACAAAAAATTATTTCTGAGTTTCAGGGAAATGAATGAGATCATTTCTCCTGGAAGGGTGTGGAATTTCCTCCCCATTTAGTTAAAAGAATGGGCTCTTGTCCTTCAGTTGTTAAGACCTACTTAGTATCTGCTACAAATCTTCTCTTAAATATGAACTGATTCATAATAGTCTTCCCAGTCAAGAATTTCTTTTATATGTTTAATAATGTTGTTGTTGTTGATAAGTACCACCAAGTCAATTCTGACTCATAATGACCCTGAATAGAGTTTCCAAAACTTTTTAAATCTTTGCAGGAGCAGAAAGCCTCATCTTTCTCCCACAAGTGACTGGTGTCCTCGAACTGCCGACCTGCTGGTTCTCAGTCAGTCCAGTATTTATCCTATGGAGCACTCACCTTAATAATGTTGCAAGGCTTAAAATTCATGTTATCATGTATATAGTTTGATCTCACTCACCTATTCAGATTTGATTTTGACTTGGTAAAATCTGAATTGTAAAATAGCATTGTTGTTGTTAGATTTTGCCACAGCGACCCCACGTACAACAAAACAGTGCCCAATCACAGCCTCTGCGTCAGTCTCCCTAGTTCAGACCCCTCCTCTTTTTCTCTGACCCTAGATTTTACCAAGGAGTTCTGGTGTGGTGCTGTGGGTTAATACATTGGTCTACAAAGTCAGTTTGAACCATAAGGTCAGCAGTTCAAGCTCACCAATCGCTCCTGGAAACCCTAAATAGGGTCACTATCAGTTGGAACCGACTCAACAGCACTTAACAACAACATCAACAAATACTTTACCAAAGACTTCTTATCAGAGTAGTCACTTAGCATAGTGGTTACAAGTTGGGCTACTAACCTCAAGTTCAGCAGTTCGAAACTACCAGCTGTTCCGCAGGACAAAGATCAGACTTTCTGTGCCTGTAAAGATTGACAGCCTCGGAAATGCTATTCAGGGTCGCTGTGAGTCGGAATAGAATCCACAGCACATAACCACCACAGCTACCACACGTTCCCACAAGCATGATGGGCTTCTCCAGGGAGTGGTCTCTCCTGACAACATGCCAAAAGTATGTGAGACAAAGTCTTTCCATCTTTACTTCTAAGGAGCATACTGTCTATAGGTCTTCCAGGACAGATGTTTGTTCTTCTGGCTTCTTGTAGTTAAGTGCCATCAAGTCAGTTCCAATTCATAGTGGCCCATTGACATCAACGTTCAATTGCATGGGGCCAAACTGTCAATTCACGCCACACACTTTGTATCCTGCAGCTAAGAGTTTTAATTGTTAAAAACTTACTCTGGATTTCGGGTCAGATTGGCCCTTACATTTTCAGAAGAGACTTCCATCTCATTTTCTGTAACTTCTAAACGTCAATTTCTGTTTTAAGGAAACACAAATTCATCCGGTGTTGCAAATTCTGCAGCAGGTGTGGAGGATCTCAACATCGTTCAGGTGACAGTTCCAGGTATGATGTTTATGACTTGCTCCTAGTTTATGTTGTGTTCTATTTTTCAGTTTGTCTTAACTGTTTTATGACGTGGGTTTGTCTCTTGGAGCTGCTGGTTTTGGCTTGGCTCACCCTAACAAGAGAGGAATATAAAATATGTTGCAGGTTGCCACACAATGGGTATCTGGCCCATAGCTGATACTGTTGATGCTTCTCCCAGCCAGTCCTCAGTGGTAATTGTGGTTGTGTGCCATCGAGTCGGTTCTGACTCATAGCGACCCTGTATACGGTTTCTGAGACTATCAATCTTTATGGGAGCAGAAAGTTTCATCTTTCTCCCACAGAGCAACTGGTAGATTTGAACTGCTGACCTTACAGATAGAAGCCCAGTTCATAACCCACTACACTACCAAGACTCCTTCCAATACTCAATATTGCCTGGAAGATCCACCCCAGAACAGTTCCAAACACCAGTTACCGTTCAGTAGAACTGGCCTCAGAGGAGAAAGTTGCTGCGTATCTTTAATCTGAATGTGTGCACATAAACTTTGTCTGGAAAGATACAAATGAATGGGATAGCACACTTCCTCAGGAACAGAAATTGATAGCAAGGCTAAAGGTGAGAGAGAGAGAGAGTTCACTATATATGGATTTGCTATACCTCTTGGATGTTGAATTATGAGACTGATTTAGTGATTCCAAATTAAATAGAACACAAATGAAATGAAAAATGTTCCCTTCTGATTCTGGAGTATCTTACATTTGACTTGTCTTATTGCATTAACTAAGCTTCTCATACAGCTCCAAAAGGATCGTGTAAACATAGACATCCTTGTCTTGCATGATGTTGAAAATGCACCCTAAAAGTCATCTGTAGTATTTCTACACCACGTTCTAATTTGGAATCATTCTCTATTGTAGATAATGGTTTTCACTTGGAAATTTCCAAAATGTTTAGTGAGCACTCAAAGTAAATGAAGGATAAGACAAGAAAGTGCATGGTCACGGGCTTACAGGGAAAGATATTAATAGTGCTGACTTCTTTAATTATTTTTAGATAATGAGAAGAAAAGATTATCGAGTGCTGAAAAGATTAAACAGCTAAGAGAACAAGTCAATGAGCTCTTTAGCCGAAAATTTGGTAAGTTGTTGTAGTGTTATTGTTGTTGTGAAGTGCCGTCAAGTCGGTTCCGACCCATAGCAACCCTGTATAGGGTTTCCGAGGAGCAGCTGCTGAGCTTGAACCACCAACCTGGCAGTCCAAACAGCTTTGAAGTCCAGCGCATTAACCCACAGCGCCACACCAGTGTTAGCTAACCAAAATTTACATATTTGAAATCCCGCTTTTTCATTGAATATTTCATCCTATAAGGCATTGATTGACCTTTCTGTGAAGGAGCTACAATCAAAATCAGACCTTGTGTATTTTTGCCAACAGGTGTTTATGTGGATACACTAATTACAATTCTGGGTCTACTAGCTATCTTTCATCTGTTGAGTTCTCATGGCGACCAAGCATTGCTTTTAGTGTTTGACGTGTGTTTTAATCAGCCAGTCCTCACTAAAACCTTAGTTAGGTACTACGACAGTCTCTGTTTAAGGCATGAGGAAACTGAGTCCACTATCCATGACCAGTTTCAAAATCAGTAAAATTATACCCTTGCTTCATAGTTGTCATTGTTGTTGCTATTAAGTGCCGTCAAGTCAGCTCCGACCCATAGCAACGCTATATAGGGTTTCCAAGGAGCTGCTGGTGAGCTTGAACCACCAACCTTGCAGATGATACAACCTTGCTTGCTGAAACTGAAGAGGACTTAAAATACTTATTGATGAAGATCAAAGACCACAGACTTCGGTATAGGTTGCACTTCAATGTAAAGAAAACAAAAATCCTCACCACTGGACCAATAAACAGCATTCTTATCAATGGAGAAAAGACTGAAGTTAAGAACTTCATTTTTCTTGGATCAACTATCAACACTCACAGAAGCAGCAGTCAAGAAATCAAACCACATGTTGCATTAGGCATATCTGCTTCATAAGACCTTTTTAAAGTGTCAAAGAGAAAAGATGTCAGTTTGAGGACTAAGGTGCGCCTGACCCAAGCCATGGTATTTTCAGTAACCTCATATGCATGTGAAAGTTGGACAATGAATAAGGAAGACTGTAGAAGAATTGATGCATTTGAGTTATGGTGTTGGAGAAGAATATTGAAAGTACCATGGGCTGCCAAAAGAACCAACAGATCTGTGTTGGAAGTACAGCCAAGTATAGCTCCTTGGAAGCCAGGATGGCTAGACTGCCTCTGTCATTCTTTGAACATATTATCAAGAGAGGGACCAGTCCCTGGAGAAGAACACCATGCTTAGTGGAGGGTCAACAGAACAGAGGAAGACTCCCCCCTCCACGAGATGGATTGGCACAGTGCCACAGCAATGGGCTCAAGCGTGGCAACAATCATGAGGTTGGTGTAGTACCAGGCAGTGCTTCATTCTATTGGGCATCAGAGCACTGTGAGTTGATACCAACTTGATTGCACCTAATAGCAAAATAACAGTCCCAACATAGCCTCCATGACCCTGAGACGAGAAAAACTAGATAGGATGGGGAACTTTTCTTCTGCCAAAATTTATAACCTCATTCGCAGCCCATGTAAAATTGTCAATTTAAAGATTAGCCTGCTTGATCTGTTCACACATTTCATTAACTCACCTCTAATGTCATGACTGGAACCGAGATAGCCTTGGCAAGGCCAGACTAAATGATTTTGAGGGTCTTATGTGGCCCGCAAGCCGGGCACCCCTCACCCCTGAACTAGATGGTGTGCCGCTACCACTGCCAACTACTCTGAAAGGGAGCCTGGTATGTGTTCCTGGATAGAGTGGGAGAAAATTGTAGAGCACAATTCAGAATGGAAAACAAAGACCAGGCTTACCAGTCAGAGAAAGTCTGGCAGAGCCTCCAAGACTGTGGTCCTTAGTCACCCTTTAGCCCTTTAAGCCACACCCCGTGACTCACCCCCATGGCTCAACCCTCAACCAAACAGTAGACAGTAACATCGAGGAGGTACACACTCCTTAGAACCATCTAGCATGTGAAACCACAGGGTGGCATTTTCCCCCCGGGGTAAAGCTGAGAAGGCAGGAAGGGAGAGGAAAGAAGGAGGAGGGGAATGGGTCAACACAAGGAGGAGGCAGGAAAAATACTGTTACATTGTAGGGGCTGCAATCACCATCACCAACTAAAATGTGTAGAAATTGTTGAATGGAAAGCCAATTTGCTTTGGAAACGTTTGCCCAAATCAGACACACATAAAAAGTTAAAAACAAATAAATAAAGATAAAGCACTGTTTTGGCAAAAGTAAATGACAAATCTGAGACCAGAAAATTAGATGGTATCTCTGTTTACAATAGCAAACAGATGGCGACAGCCTAAGTGCCCATCAACTGAAGAATGGATAAACAAACTGTGGTACAGACACACGATGGAATATTATGCTACCTTGAAGAACAACAAGGAAGCGGCAAGCCACCACATACAAGGATGAACCTTGAGGACATTATGCTTAATGAAATTAGTCACAAAAGGAGAAATACTGCATAAGACCACAGACTAAAAAAAAGAACCCATACTAAAAGGGTGTGTGTGTGTATGTGATTTTTTTGCTGGTTACTGGGATGAGGGGGCAGGGTGAGGGGAGTGGGGGGAAGGTGGAGCACAGGGTAGGGAATAGACACAGG